CAGCTACTCCTCCACAGTACCGCCAATTCTCGGCACGCAATCAATGCCACGTATACCCGCAACAACATTTCGTGGAACAAGTATTATGTAGCGGCCGTAACGCCACAAGCGTTATGCACGCTAAACATTACGCTTCTCGTCCAACGATGGCAGTAATACTCACAGGTTTCTGCAGATGAGGCGGAAAAGCTGGAAACTACGTGGGCACACTTCCCACCCGCAGTCGCGTCGTTTGCCCAGTGCGGTCAAAGCACTCAGGACTGAAATGTACAGAGCACAGGCGGTCTCCATCCTTAGCGCGCCACCCTTCACGGCGAACTGCCCGCTCCCAAAGACTCCGAACTTCTGCATTCTTTGGAAACCTGTCAAGAAATATACGACAATCAACTGCGGCACACGTACACACAATGCCATTTTGCTGCTCTTTCATGCGCGGGCCTGCAAGCAACTACAATGCGGCTGAAATGACCGCGAGTAGAACACGCTAAATTTCATGTACTTACAGGTGAAATGTGAGGCCAGAACCTCTCTTCAGCCTGTTTGTGCATCCGTAGGCAACGCAGGAGGTAACCATTATCCCAGAGCAAGACTTGCACTCATTGAAAACGTTGAAGAGAACAGCGTGCACCAGCAACGAAGCGTGGAGGCGACACACCGGCAGCGCGCTTTCTGCCTCCGGCAAGATGGCTGCCGCTGGCGTCACCTGACGGGCGTCGCTTCCACTCCAGCAAGTTTTTATATCCTCCTTGGTTGTAACAGCAAAGGGAGTAATTGTTACCGCCCTTGCCGTTACTAACTGCGCTTACTACCAGGATTGTAACATATGTGACAAACCATTACTACCCCAAAGTTAGCCAGTACTACTACCTTTTTTCGAAGAGTGTGAAGTGAATGGTGTTTCAGCTCCACTAACACTGTCAGCTATTTTGTAGGGCTACCTGTTCACTTCATGATTTTTAGAGGACCACAGGCAAGTGGAATTTAAATCCGACTACTCGGTTAACTACCCAACTTTCGCGGCACTTCATTTGTGCACATACAAATGGTCCACGCCCATACTCGTCCTCGATTCCAGTTCTACATCAGAGCGGTCAACGTTATTCTTGAAACGGCCGAGCAGAGTGACACAAGAGGACAGCGCGCACACTTCCAACTGTGTTTTTATTTTGGCAAATAGCATCATGTATGCAGACTTGCGCAAGCGTACACCCGAACGTATCGCCAAGATTAGACAACACTATCGCAACGCCACGGACAAAAAGTTGCATAGACGGTTCGCCTGATTAAGTAAGGACACTTCATGCTCCCATAAAGACAACGAAGGTGTCATGTGGTGAGAGTTGTATCGGCCAAACAGGGCGCTGCAATAATGAGAGGCTAAAAGAGCACCATTACAATGTGCACAAAGTAATCCAGGGACAGAGTGGAGTTCACTGTCGCTATTGTGGATCTTCACAATCACTTTCGCAATCACAATGACGTTATCAATTTGAAGTAGCAGAAAAAGCCCTCGTCACAAATATAAGAGAAGCGCATTGTATAGCACGAGTTGACATCACATGTGCTCTTCGTGGACTTTATCGGAATATTGTCCTTATACTTATTCAGCCGAACCGACCATGAAACTTTTTTCTGTGGCATTGCAATGGCGTTGTCTAATCTTGGCAATACGTTCACTGTGTTGCGTATGTTTGCGCAAGTCTACACATTTGATGCAATTTTCCAAAATAAAAACTCAGTTCGAAGTTAGCGTTATACGTCCTATTGTATCGGTAACTTCGGCCATTTTTCCCCGTAATGCGCCATATAAGCACGAAGAATCAATTTGCTCAATGTTAAAACTTTTTTTTACTTTAAAGAGACAAGAATAACCTGCCAACAACATTTATTCGTAAGTCACACATATATGCTTGCTGCCGGTACTGTGAGTTATCTTTGGACCAAAATAAAGTTTTCATCATCATGAACGCGTGCGTAGAAAGCTGCCATCTTTCTCACTCCGTTACTGATAACAGTACGATACTGCAGTGAAACTATACTAAGGGGACATGGCGCCAACGGTGAAGCGCCTTGTCCTGTGTTCTTCAAAAGCATCCGTTTTTTTTTTTTTCTTCTCTATACCGCTTCAAGGCATTCCAGGCAACGAGATTGCGCAGCTCACGACTCGCAGATTCACTAACCGAGCCCCTGGAAGTGCGGAAGTATGCCCTGGCACCGTCACCCTCTTGTCTCATGTCAGAACATCATGTTGCAATATACAGAATGCAAAGAATAATATTCCCACCGCCACCGAGAATTCTTACCGTTCCTCAAGAACGCATCCTATAAGAGCACTGTGAACCAACATCTACCGTCACCCATCTAGAATTTATTACTTTACCCTTTACTTGTCCTCCCCACAGCAAAGGTCGGCAAAATCTGTGGAGCTCACTCAGACTCATTTATGAAATATATTTCGCGCTTTGAGCCGACTCGGACTCGTGGCTCGATCTGAGTCCTGGACAGAGTGAGTCAACTCATGAGTCCGTTAGCCTCGAGTTAGCTTTTTAGACCGTCCTGTCAATCCTTCTCAACACCACTATATTACGTAATCCGTGCAGTCCCTGGCGCCTTCTGATATAGCATCTTCTAATGCAAGCTATAAGTGCTCACAAACCTCTAATATCGTTTTTGTTTAAAGAGATGCCAGTGTATATTTTTAGGGGCGAAGCTCCTTAGGGCGTGGGCTGTGCGTCCCATGTAGCCTGTATGTAGCCATCTCTAGTTTAGTTCTTGCAGTGTTCACTAGATGGCGGTACGGTCCCCTGTATGTAGCCACCTCTAGTTTAGTGCTTGCAGTGTTCACTAGATGGCGGTACCGTCTCCTGTATGTAGCCACCTCTCGTTTAGTTCTTGTAGTGTTTACTAGATGGTGGTACTTGTAGCTGATGATGAAAAGATGCAAGATGTTATAAACTAGAAAGCGGTACTTGTAGTTGATGAAAGACGCGAGATCTTATAAAATAGGAATGATGTCACATATGGCGCGTGTCATTGGTTGAAGGCAATCGTTCGATTTAGTGCGGCGACGTACGCTAGGGGGGAGCGATGTAATAAAATCGAGTGGGCAAAATGTACAGAGGATTCATGGTTTACCAGGTTTACCTCCGGAGCTTCACCCACTCATCATCATTCACTTCGTGGATATGGCGGCACTTTTTTTTAATATAAAAAATTCCACGGAAGAGGTGGCGGGGAGGGAGGGAGGTCAAGGCACGTCCTACACAATTCCCGCCTGCGATCACTAAATAAATGGCGTCGTATGACAGTGGCTTGAAATACGCATGACTAGACGTGACTATAATTGCGGGTCCTGGTAAGGCGCAAAATAATATAGAAGGCGTGTAGATAGAAACATAGGCCGGCATAAAAAAAAGAGTAACTCCCTCAGACTCCCTCACTAAGTACATGTGAGGGAGTCACTCGGACTCACTCACATGTACTCACAAGCTATGGACTCACTCGGACTCAGACTCATCAAAATTTTTTTGAGCCGGACTCACTGTGACTCACACTCACGAAAACATTACTCATTCACACTCACTCAGATTCAAACTCACCAGGATCTTACTCATCTAGACTCGCTCGGACTCAGGCTCACGGCTCGAACTCAGTAAGTTCGAGTGAGTCAACAAATGAGTGACAGATTGCGTGATCACCGTTCGGCAGTTGACGCGCAGGCAGCGGGGAGTCACTTGGCGGATCGATTCGCCACTTTCACGTGTGCTTAGAAAAGGTAAGGATAAGACGACGCGAGAAATCATTGAAGCGTTTGCTATCAGCGAGAATGAAATTAAATCGGTCAGTGTTGCGTGGCTCCCCTCATCAAAAAGATTGCGTATTCGAAAGCAAATCTTGCGCATGCAGGGTGGTAACACGTAAAATTACAGACATAAAAAAGCCCCTCAGAGTGTGAATGTGCGCACACGCTCATGTCCGATGATTTTGGCTTTTTCAATAAAAAGATCAGTTGATGCCTAGCGCCCGTCCTGTCTATGTCTTCCTTCTTTGTTTTTCCGTTTCGCGCTACGAACATGAATCATAAATGAGTTCGCGGACCTATGTCCCACCGCGCCAATATTGTGAAGCACGGGGGACGCTTTAGCATATGGTAGGGTGTTGTACACAGTCACCTCTTAGTGCATTTAACCTATGCCACACTTAGCTCTGAGAGCGAGCCATTAGCCAGCTTCATCCTCTCAATCAGCGCCAGTGGGTGGCGAGGGCCGTTGACGCGGCGAAAGCCTATACGGTTTCCTGGAAGGCACAGACCACCCCGAAGACGATACTTGAAGAATAGTCAAATAAAGATGTACACACACACACACACACACTCTCTCTCTCTGGCACTTCAGCGTCGCGAACGCATATCAACATACCTATATGGCCGTCATTCTATTAAAGGGGACTAATACGTCTCTTCATAAAGACGGCATTCTGTCTTGGGATACTTGGAGGGGGGGGGGGGGAGAGAAAAAGCGGTTAACGTTTAGAGTACTACGCACTCTACTATGGGAGAGCAAGAAGCCGTCCCACGAAAAGCAGCGGATTCTGCAAGTACAGTCTCAACGAAGCCTTGAACGCAAAAACTTACGTCTGTTTGTGAAAACAAACAGTTCAGCCACCTTGTCTAAGTTTAAGCCCTTGCTGAACGGTAAGCCATCTTTAACGCAGGGTGCCTGCGTTTATACTAGTAAACATAGTCGACCAAAAAGCAAATATTACGCATATCTGAGGCGCAAGTAAACGTTAGTATTAGGTGGTGTGTTCCTTCACTAGAAAATACACAGATACGTAATTCTAAAGAGCCTAGTGTTTCTTAGGCTGCGCTGAAAATGCGATGCTATGCGCAAAACAAGGCCGGCAGGAGGCCATTGTCTTTCGACGACATTTGCAGCGAAGCGCGCAGATACGCGGCCAATTTTTTTTTTTGTTGTTGCTCGTTTCGTTTCGTGACGCAGGTAGAACATCCCCGCGCGTGGATCCATCCAGGAGAGAACCATGACGTCACCATTGCGAGTGGCCGTGGTTGGCGGCGGCATCGTGGGCCTCAGCGCCGCCGTGCGCATTGCCGAGGAAGTGGCGCCCGAGAACAACCGGGTGACCGTGCTCGCCGAACACTTCAGCCCGCACACCACGGGAGACGTGGCGGCGGGATTCTTCAACCCTTACATTGTCCACGGAGTGTCGGAGGAGAGGCTCAGGTCAGGAAAACGCAAGTCGCCATCGTTGTCATCATGTATGGTCTATACTAAACGGGTTGATTCCGGTACCACCGTTGATTCGCGAAAGGATAAATTGTAGTGAAGTGGGTATTCCGCGCATGCCACTGCACTGCAAGCACGTGAGTGGGGGAAATAAAATTAGGTGGGTAGATGAGATTTAGAAGTTTGCGGGTATAACGTGGCCGCAGAAAAGCGTTGGACAAAGTTGACTTGTGGGACATGGCAGAGGCCTTTGCCGTGCAGTGGGCGTAGTTAGGCTGCTGCTGCGGATGATTATGAAGGGCACTTCGCTACTGTTATAGCACTGTACGTATTCTGATAGATAGCGTGAAACAGTCGATTAAAGAGACTTTCCTTTTCTAGTGACATGGTTGAGGCACCCATTGCAAAGCGAGGCCAGGCGCGCGATTTACAAGGCGATGCAGTGTCCGATTACGCTATTTCGTTCTACGCCCCGCCGTGGTGGTCTAGTGGTTAAGGTACTCGGCTGCTGACCCGCAGGTCGTGGGTTCGAATCCCGGCTGCGGCGGCTGCATTTCCGATGGAGGCGGAAATGTTGAAAGGCCCGTGTGCTCAGATTTGGGTGCACGTTAAAGAACCCCAGGTGGTCAAAATTTCCGGAGCCCTCCACTACGGCGTCTCTCATAATCATATGGTGGTTTTGGGACGTTAAACCCCACATATCATCATCATCAGCTATCTCGTTCTACTATTGAAGGCGAAGCTCGAACGTCTTCCAAATTCTGCCTAACAGTTGTGTGTTTTGGCATGAACGTTATCTGCAGTCTAGAGACTACCATCCTGTGCATTTCACGTGTCATTTGTTCTTACCTTCAACTTTAGCCAGTGACAATTTCCGCTTCACTAAGCTTTAGGAACAAGGACGGAAAATTTTGAAATGTATTAGTTGTTGAAGTTTCACGTCCCAAAACCACAGTACGATAACAAGGGACGCCATGGTAGAGGGCTCCGAAAATTTTTATCACCCAGAAATCTCTAAAGTGTACCTAAACTCAAGTACACGGGCCTGTAGCATTCCGCCTTTATCGTAATGAGCTAGGAAGTCTTAATTTTAATTCACTTTGCTTCCAAAAAACTTGAATCATTGATCTGTGTTATGGACCAATATTGTTGTACGGCTGGACTATGTCAGCTCGAAGAACCATGCCTACCATTTCTGTGCAAACAGGAGCAGCTGTGGGCTAACCGTATAATCTCGCTATTCGTGTTCTGTATAGATCATGGTGCATGGACGCGTTCAACTTCTACCGACATCTGGCGGAGAGCGCCGACTCGAACGAGCTGGGTCTGGCCGTCATGCCGGGTTACATCCTCACGGAAGAACACACAGTAGGTATACCGCTGACATTCCGACCTTTTATTTAGGCAGCAATTAAGGTTGTTTCATTGGCGAACTATATCCCGGGCTTCTGCATGGCAACACCAAATTCATGCCGTACAGCACATGTCCTCCTGGACTCTTCAGCACACGTTTATATAATCCCTAGTATCGGTCACCCTCATCAGCTTAATCATCTAAGAGGGACAGCAAGACTGTAATAGACATTTAATCACTTGGCTTTCTCGCGTTGATGACCGAAGATAGGTGATCTTGCACTCCAAGGACCATTTACTGCCCACTTTAGCCAGACACCGAAGGCCGGCATTTGTGGAAAATACGTCGTTGCTTCCATTGTCATTTTTTCGGCTAAGCTCCTTTTTTTATGGGATAAACCACTATCTATGGGGGGGGGGGGGGGCAGTGCCACTGCAGAGAAATCTGCCCCCTCCTTAGATATTCGGGGGGGGGAAGGGGGCTGTGACTAATATATATATATATATATATATATATATATATATATATATATATATATATATATATATATATATATATATATAATGAATTAATACATGGTTATTTAAACATTGATGTATCCGCCTATCTTACGTTGATCAAACTAGAACAACACGCCAAAAACACCCAATGAGACTTAACGAATACTCCTTCAACACAAACTGCTTTAAGTACTCATTCTTCCCGTTAGCCACTAATGAATGGAATAAACTGGATCCGAGTATCTCCAGCACTACCGAATTAGCAAAATTTCTAACCCTTATCGAAAATGAACTTTGTATTATGCAAACGGAATCACCCGGTTGATTTTAATATGTGTGTTCGTGTGAACATTGTACGAGCGAAGTATCATGTCATCATATTTTTTCTTTAAGCAATTTTTAGTACTGAATCCAGGTGAAGAGAAAGCGCTCTGTTGATTCTTGAACATGTTTCTGTTTTTCAGTGTGTATAAATTTTCCCTTCCTTGAAATACTTCGCCATATTGCAGGGTAGTTTCTTATTGCTGTAATTTCTTGTTGTGTTTCTTGATGCATATGCCAATATGTCAACCAATGTGTCAACCAAGTCGCTGCATTTATTTTCTTCTGACAACTTTTCTTTACACTAATGTTTTATGCCTTCTTTGATCTGAAATTGTTAAATGATCCGATTCTGTTAGTTTCATTCTGTACTTTATCGCGATGTATGTCTTTATTGTGTACCTATTCGAATTTTTATGTTCACGCCCTTCCTGCTAAAATCCCTGATGGGATTGGCCGTATGTCGAAATAAATAAAATAATATATATATATAATATATATATATATATATATATATATATATATATATATATATATATATATATATATATATATATATATATATATATATATATATATATATATATGACCTTCACGCGCCCTGTGCAATGTAACACTCAAACCCGCACAATTTCAAACGCACACATGCATGTCGCCTTTGAGAATGACGTGGGCGCTCACTCAGTTTCGTTTTCGTCAGGTTTCGCGCCACTTTCAAACTCACACCTCCGTAATTTTACTGTTACTATCGTGTAGTGCTTCTTGCATTTTCATGCATTTGTAAACCAAGGTATGGTAACATTTGAATTTATTTGAATTTACTTGTATTTTGTTGCATGTATTCAGATGCCTTATAGTTGAATAGTACAATCTGCCTTCTGTTAAAAAACGGACTTCTGCCACAACTCTTGAATGCCCTACAGCGACTATGATCGGTCAATACACGTATAATGATTAATAAAATTGATTGATTGGTTGATTGACTGATTGGCTTACTCGATCTAGCTGCAAATTGAGAAAATGCGGCATCCGCCTGACGTCTGCTCAGTTTCTGGTACTACATTAGTGTGTCACGCAAGAAACCGCAGCGCCACTTGCGTCACATAGGAGTACGATGGCGCTGTACGCGACGTACGTCACAACTACTCGCTTAAATGTGACTGGTTTATAGTGCACTAAGGGCAAGCATGCAGACGCTTAAAACACACGTTTCTCCATATTTTCTTGGTACGTACAAATCAAAACTTCTAAAACGATTCTTTAGCATTCAACGTCGGCTTGATATATGCCCTTATTAACCGCTTAAATCCGCTTAGTGAAGCGTTAGCTTTAGCCAGATGACATCACACACCCACACACCTTTAAATATAAATATTTGGGTGATGTTGGTGACCCTGAGTGGCTTACAGTGTTACTTACATAAATTGGTTTTCTACATAATCTCGGAACAAGCGCACAGCAAATCGATCATGCTGAGACTGAAACGAAGCCTTTTCGAATGCGAGCTCTGGCGCTTGAATCATCTTCAATAGGGATAAAGACGTATTGCGCCACTGGTTCAGCCGGGTATAAAATGGTGGGGGGTTCAAACTTCGTAAAATCTTTAGCGTACATACATGTAAGCGCTTGCACAAGCATACGTATAAAGTATGATTGCATTCCATGCCACTCCCGAAAAATTTCTGACTACGCCACTGTTGTGCATGAATCCAGATGTATAAAATTTACTATAGCAGCGCAGAAACGTTGAGCATGTTTCCTCCCTTTCCAGCCACGGCCTTCCTACGCCGACGCATTTTTCCACTATAGAGAGCTGACGGCACTGGAGCTGTCATCGTTCCCGAAAAGATATAGGTGAGTCCCACATATACGAAGCAGTGCGGAAAAAAGAAAGGAAAACATTAACAGGTAAACGTTATATAACGTTAAGGTTCATTTCACCAGAAAGGAAAGCATGAATTCGATTAAATGTACTATGTGAAAATTAAAGAAATGTGGTTTCATGTATTTTGAATATTTAAACACGATATTCGGAGCGGTTCACATGCATTGAAACCCGTTCCAACAGACAACACTTCTCAGTAGTAATCTGTACACAACTCAAGTGCTTTGTGTGTGTGTGTGTGTGTGTGCGTGCGTGAGTGTGTGTGTGAGTGTGGTGAGTGCGTGAGTGTGGGGAGCGCATGCTTTGTGGTGTGAAAGAAAGAGAAAGAAAGAAAAGGCACGTAGTGACACACATTCCAGCAATTAAACATAAAGGTGTTAAAATCGAACCTGTCGTATATGACTAATAATTGCCGACTTCACATTCATGTTTTCTGTCCATTTTCTTAGTTTTTTTTGTTTTCTTCCTTTTGTACTCGTTACTTAAGTGTTCGGGTATGTGCCATGAGAATGAGCTTTCTTTTAGATACTTTTCATCCAAACCTGCATGTCCCGCATTCCCTCCTGTTTTACCTTGCTTGTATGGGCCGAAGGCTTCAACAGTAAAGTGTGTTTGCAGAATAACCGACCAATTAAGGTGACTTATATGACCTAATCTCATTTCAGGTACGGAACCTACGTGATTTCGCTGACAATCGAATGCAAGAAATTCCTCCCGTACCTCATGCAACGGTAAGTGTTGCAGTCGAAGACGCGGGACTGTAAAACAGGTGTTCCAAAAGGTTTCGTTGCGTATGCTAGATCAAAGCTACATGCATCTCTGTGGGTCGTATTTGCGAGACCTCCGAGATGGCGGGCGTGCGGCGCCCACAATCTTGGAGGTTATGGTATTCGTATACGGTAATTCTGCCATAGCTTGGCAAAATATATGAAACTCATTCAGCCTCGCACGGACTCGAACTCACATATTACACATCAAACAATGCAATTATAACAAAATACCATAAAAGGCATACGAATATTATTTCCTGCCGAAGACAAGTACACAACAATACATCAGTGATCAATGTATATCAAAGTGACAACTATGTAGAGGATATAGAAAAGGAGAAAACATTAATTAAAGTACGTGCTGTAGATTATAAAAGTAGAATAAAAAAACTTTCAGTTTTGCCGCAAAGACGGAGAAATGAACGCGTCAGCCACTAATTGGAATGTTATAATAATTAGGGCTAGTAGCTAACTTCGCTAGCATCTGACCTCCGTAGCCTTCCTGTAAGCTGGCGAAACGGTATACCACCGCTCCAGGGAGCGAAGCGGTTTGCTGTCTGTCGTTTCAAACCCGAACTTAAGAGGCAAGAGGAAGCGGTAAGAGGCACGTACAAGGATAGCAGCGCGAATTACCACGCCCTTCTGATTAAGTTTCCCAGTTGCACCACGAGTGACACAGTAGCTCTTCGGCTTCTCCCACCGGCAACATTTCACGCTCCTTCGCCCTATGAAAGACAGACGGGGCGTTCCATCTCTGCTTGAGGAGGAACCATCGACGGCAGCACTTGCATGCGAGGCGATGTTATCGCGTGAACCCTCCGTGCGACGGAGATTGGATTGGATTGGATAAACTTTTATTTGGTCCTCCCAAAACACAGATCACTGTGTTGCGGGCAGCTCCCACGTGGGGACTGAGATGGCCGGCTCGTTTTATTTCTGCTGCAGCTGCGTTCGTCGACAGCGCTCAAGCGCTTTCACTCGCAAATAGAACATACATATGGGCGGGGAGATGTTGTCGGTTGCTAGTTTATACGTGACATGACGGCGACGGCTAAAACCAGCCGAGAGTGTCTATACAATCGCTATCACATTTGAAGATGTTTGATTAGACGCAGATACAGAATGCCGTACTAAGCCTTTTTTTTTTTTTTTCAAACAATTCCAGTCTCGAGAGTCGTGGTGGACGCCTGAAGCAGTGCAGAGTCAAAAGTCTCGAAGAGGTTAGTGAAAGGCTGTCGCATTTGTAAGCCCAGCGGGTCCACGTACACTGACTAGAATATATGGTACTTAGATGGTTGACGAAGACACGCACACAGTAAGGATAGATGTTGCCCCTTTTTTCTCTCTTGTGCATTCGAATGTCTTTGTAGTGGAGGCAACACGCTTTGAATGTGCTTACGTTTTATAACTAGCCAAAAGCTGCTCACTGTATGTTACAATTGCACGCCAATATTGTATCGTACACACATGCAGTAATTCTGGGGTTTTACGTGCTCTCATTGCGAGACATTTCACGAGTGATCGCAATATGAGGCTCGTTGCAGAACGGTTGAGCGTGGATGACACATAATCTTTTGTGAATGCGCGACTCAACGCAGCGCAGATGGGGAACATCCATACTTCGCCTCCTTTGAGAAAACATATGCACATGCCCGCCTGTGTTTACAATGTTTGTGAGAAAAGACAGGGACAAACAACAGCAACACAATGAGGAGTGTATTGGCCTTGTGTTGTCTTAGTGTTTTAAAGTAAATATTCATAAGACGAATTTATTACAACCAGAGTTGCACGACGCGTTACAAGTAATCAATTACATTTTTTTGTGATTTCGTAATATAATCTAGCACATTTTCAAACTAATATTCTGAGTAGTTCAATTACACTTTCTTGTCATTGATTAACGGTAATCAATCACAAACAAAATCACCTTTTTTTCCACGATCAAGTTGCAGCCAGTTTTTTACTTCAGTAGAGTGACTTGTAGGGCGAGTTTGCTCATTATTACGGTAGCTTTTATTGTGAAAACGAGAAAATGCTGTCAGCCTTCTACTGCACTTCTCGTTGCAAAAAATAGGGACCTATAGGGACCTATATAAAATAGGGACTCTATAGGGACCCCCCGTCCTGTCACACGGGAGGTCGACCCTTACATAGCCTTTTTTTTTACCTTCACATTGGCGCCTTACCTACAAAACCTACCAGAGCGCCAGCAACAGCGAAGTGTGACGATTCATAAATGACATGGAAATTAGCATCGTAGTGCTGCGCAGCTACCAGTGGGTGCGCAACGTGTTGCTACAATATGATCCCACCCTTCCCTCCAGTGCATGCATTGCAAGAGCGTTCAGTGCATACCAGCCGACATCTTTAGGAGGAAGCGTGGAAGAATTAGTAACAACTTTGAGAATTAACGCCCGTTGATGGTTAGGAATATGTAACACAATATAACAAAAGCCCCTACTTCATGCAAGCCTCCAGTCTTCCATATGGCATGCGAACTACAGTTGTTCGTTGTAGGCCGACTGAACTTACGTTATTGAGTTACGGCAATTGAATTTCGAAGGAAGCTAACGTTAATATAATCGATTACACTTCTGCAATCGCTCAGTTAATTTTCTGAGGCTTTCGTTGATTACTGTCAATCATTTTAAGGAAAGTAGTAATTGTGATTGGTTACTTATTTTCTGTGACGTGTACAAATCTGATTCCTACTATAGGCCAAATTCCAGTAATGGCTGCTTACGCATACCCACAGGCATCGACTCCAACTACCTTTTTTTTCCAAACACTCTGTCTTCAATTCATATGTTAGGCTCCACAGTGCACATGCCATGACAAGAAGCCGCAGTCGAACTACGTCTAATTGACATCGATAGGCAGTGTGTTTCGCTTTCTTGTGGGCATTGCGCAGTCGACCTTTTAGCCGCGCATCTTATCATTGCACGTGGAGGACAACACCACGCATCCGATCGGAGTATAGCAGCAGCCGGGCACTCGTTCCTTCGGATAAAAACTTCCCTTGCGTGTGCCAACACCTCCTCTATGTTGGTGTGCTATCCCACAGCGATATCTCTGCAGAAGTGATTGTATGAGTTGTTGCTCGGCGTCGTGTATTACAGCGGCGAGGAATCGGCAGCATCTCGATCAGTACCAGTTTTTAAGATTTTCTAAAAACACATTCACTTTTCACTCAGTCAAGGGTGCGTCTCGAAAATTTCGTATTATATTTGCACGATTTTCTGTGTAGATGGTTCCCTCACAAGCTGCGACAGATATTTATTATATGCGAAGCAGCTCTTTGACTAGCCTGTGTAACGCTGTCCATCCGTGCGTCCGTACGAACACGCCGCAATGCGCTCCCTTCGCCGCAGTTGTTGGATCAGTGCCAAATCGGTCATGTCGCAGCTGCGCGTTGACGTCACGCTCCCCTCGCAGTGTGCGCTGACGTCACTCTCTTTCCTCGCCTGCTGCGTGCTCGTCGCAGCAACCGCAGCTGTCACCCCGCTCAAGTGCGTGTCGGCGAAACGGAAACTACCCTCCACGATAAGGGGAACGTGCATCAATTTAGTATTTGCCAACTTCGACGTCGAATGTCTTCGGGAACCTCTTAGCGTGCACTTCACCGATCCCAAGGCCATGGTTGTCAAGGCAAAACGCGCGTCAGCTCTGGTCTAGCGACAGTGTCCACTCTGAAGAAACGACAAGGCCCTACACCAGCCATTACGTCAAACCTATCTTCCAGCGCTCACCGCAGCACCTGCGTTAGCGCCGTTCAACCCGTGACGCCACTCGTGTGCAACGCTGCTGCTTCGCATCCTATTATGGATACCTTTGGGAAGATGACGTGAATTTATATATTTATTCATATTTATTCGTTTATTTATTCGTTCATTTACTTATTAGGTCACCCTAACTGACCCAGTATGCTCCACGCACGTCGACGTGCCGCCTTGGTCAGTGCTTGACTGGAAGGGAACTACATCTAAAGAACATGAAACACTGCTAGCGCTTGCCTTCTGAAGCTTTTCCTGCAATATTTACCCAAGAAAATTCAGGCACTGTGACCGTTCAGCCACCATGGGAGTGATGGGTAGTGCACCGATTTCACCCAACTTTGTGCTTGCGGCTTCAAACACCTGAACGGCTTGGTTTATTCTTGAAGGGAAAAAAGGGTAAATTTAAGAGCTCGTTTTTTTGTTAGACACAATATTAATGAGAAGTGACAGTCAAATTATACCAAGGAAAGTATAGAGGATGTTATCAGAAGTAATTATAAAGTAATTGTGAAGAAAGAAAAGTGGACAAAAATATAGCTTGCCGTGGGCAGGGACCAAACCTGCAACCTTCTTACAAACGTGCGCAGCTGGCAATAGTGGCCAACTAGCCCAGCAACGCGTTCTTCTGAACATCAGTTTGTTTTCTACGGGATGTTGTTTATAAGGAGCCGCAGAACACACCAATGACACATTCAATATTCTTTTACTTCATGCAGTGTAATTTCGGATTTTCGCACTACTAAAAACGTCGCTCGTTTCACTTACCTCACTGTCAAAACGGCGCCTTCGTCTTTGGGTCGTCCTCCAGCTATTTCGACGGCTCACCAAAGAAGCTTGTGACAACTTCCTGAAAAATGTCTAAGCCGACGTAGTAAATTGAATGCAGTGTTATTCGAACGCGCGCGCGTCATTCCAAGCGCCAGCCGAACTGAACTGCTTGGCAGAGGAGTACATGTGCAGTAACTCCATCCCCGTAGCTTTCTCTTCATTCAGAAGAAAAGTTATCCGCAAAACCACCATGTGATTATGAGAGACGCAGTAGTGGAGGGCTCCGGAAATTTCGACCACCTGGGGTTCTCTAACGTGCACGTCCGCAAGCATAGCTGACTAGCCGTATCTCCTTGACTAGATGACAAGTGATGTTGTGTGATTTTAGTTACGTGACTTAATGCTATAGTAAACGTTATTACGTGATTTCAGTCGCGTTACCACAGGTGATGCGTGATATCACATTACTGGCACACGTTTTGTGGGAGTGAAGCAGAAGAGGACAAGGAGAGTGAGCACCAGTTCAAGATGATGATACATTCTGTTCGCACTATACCGCAGCGCAATGAAAAGCCGAAAGAGCTCCGCTCTTTTAAAGAAAAATGGTTTGTTCTGAACCTTCTGGTGTAACTTAAATTGGTGAGACTAAAATGGTCAAGCTGGTGAGGTATAGGGCTACTGAGCTTTGGCTGAACGACGTGTTGTGGCAAAGTGACTCCAGGCCATGGAGATAGAGCCGAAAGAACGAACGTTCGGGAAAATACATGTCCCACCCATCATTAGGAATACAAAATTAACTGCGCCAAGGACGAGACACGAGAAACGAAGTGCACAGGACGATAGAAGTGGTCACGACTGCAGCAATCCTGCCACCTCATTTCTCCTGTCTCGTTTTTAGCGCAGTTATATATTTTTTCAATGATGTCTTACCAACTAGCACCCCAACATACACTTCTCGAGTCTATCATTAACGTGCTGGCTCATGAGGTGTCATGACTTGCGGCTCCTATGGAAGTGCACTCCTTTCTTTGTCTATGTTGCTACAGTATTGTCTTGTAGATATTACCTTGCGAGGTATGCTGCAAAGTATCTGATCCCCGTATTCTTGAACGTCCCTTCACTGAACGCTTCACTTTGAGAGAATAAAACGTTCATTAGAGTAGATCAGTAAGTGGATGGGCCGCTGTCCTCGCCCGTTTAACGAGGGCCTCTTGTCTCTTCGGATCCGAGCTGGAGAGAACTGCCTCCCACCCTTCCGTGTTGTGTTGTATCCTGAGTTGCAAAGGTAAATTGTATGGACATTCGCACGCCATGTGGTACCAGGTGCCTGTTTCATTGGCGCAGAACCTGCACAGTGATTTGATTGATATGTGGGGTTTAACGTCCCAAAACCACCATATGATTATGAGAGACGCCGTATATAGTGGAGGGCTCCAGAAATTTTGGCCACCTGGGGTTCTTTAGCGTGCACCCAAATCTGAGCACACAGGCCTGCAGCATACGCTTCACATTGAGTTGAGAAATTCGACGGGAGCACAGTCTCCAGGCTGAGCAAGTCACTGCATATCGGCGATAATCTGCAGCGATCCTTGAGAAACGCGCAGTCGCTTTCGGTCAGCGGCGCAGTGTTCAACGCTGTCAAGTGAATGACGTAATTTGAGTCGAGGAGCGTTTATGAATAAGAGGGCTAGAGCATTCTATATAGTTTTCCGATCATCTGTCCGGCTTAAGCGCACAAACGCTAACAGCTGAGTTTATTTTCTGGAACAAGCTCGGCCAACAGAGATAACGCTCGATTCTCGAATGTTGGACGACACGTGCCGACGTGCGTAGCCAAGGGTGATATTATCAATGGCCGACGCTCTATTCAGCACCGTGAGTGTCAGTTTGTGTTGCTATAATAGTCTGTGGAGCTATTCTCGCGGTATCGAATCCATGCACATGTCCGACTCGTCGGAAATGCGTTCAGTAACGCAAAAATACGCCTACGTTTTGACGTCATTGTGCGCTTCACCACGTCGACGCACCGAACCCGCCAGCCCATTCCTATAGTGTGCAACCGAAACTATGTAGACAAAATGTAAGTAACATGACTCCTAAACAAACTTGACGTGCGTATGGAACGTGTTGAGATGTTTGAAGAGCGATGCAAGGAATGCGTACCGACCTTTCATGGGCTCAGGTGGGCGGCCACGTTAAACCTAATACGAGGGCTAACGTGATGCGAGGACGGCCTCGGAGTTGTGCGTCCAAAAGCGGATCTATGGGGGCAGCATTTGTTGATGGGAAAGGCATTCCGTCTTTCTCATTTGTGTCGACAGTTGTGAAAGTTGCGTGGCGTCAAAACGGCGTTGCAGAAGGAAGGCCGTTAACAGGCGGTGCGCTGCTCGCCAGCTCCTGCCGATCAGGGGAGGCCGAATGGGACATGTCTACGAATTGAACACAGCGATAATAGCTCTCCTAATCCTCACCCCCGTATTCTAAAACGGCCCCGCCGCGGTGGTCTAGTGGCTAAGGTACTCGGCTGCTGACCCGCAGGTCACGGGATCGAATCCGGGCGGCTGCGGCTGCATTTCCGATGGAGGCGGAAATGCTGTAGGCCCGTGTGCTCAAATTTGGGTGCACGTTAGAGAACCCCAGGTGGTTGAAATATCCGGAGCCCGTCACTAGGGCGTCTCTCATAATCATATGTGGTGGTTTTGGGATGTTAAACCCCACATACCAATCAAATCCATTCTAAAACGCTCCTCGACTCGACCCTTCGCGTTTTCAAATTCGCAAATCGTTCTTCACTTCAAACGCACCTCGACTCGAGAAAACCTCACGCTTTCCTCAAGATTGTCAAGGTCAGTTTCGCGGCCACAAGTTAGGCCAAATAAAGTTTCTTCTTTGACACGCACACTGTTGCTATCGTCGAAGTCACGACCACGTGACATGGTTATGAAGCTCTATCGTCCATACGACTGTTTCTTGCAGCTTGCAGGCGAGTATGACGTCATCGTCAACTGCACGGGCTTCGGCGCTGGTACGTTTGTCCATGATCCCAAGGTGCACGCCATCCGAGGCCAAACGATCAGGGTGAGTTATACTATGGCTTGTTCGTCTTTCACTTCTCTCTTACTTCAGTTACCATCGTCCCACTCATGACGGCTACCCGAGCGCCGGATTGTTTCAGTGGTTCACCTCATAAGCTTCCTGTACATTTTTTGTGACTGTCATGTAAATGTCGCCTTGGTGACCTAAACTGGGTTACTTTATTTTCAAAACGACAGACCATTTATTTTTTAGCTGGTGTTCTGTTCTGATAGTACTTACTCACTTGATTTAACAATGTTGAAGAATAAACTACATCAGTTGAGATGGGTAACGAATATATTTACAGAAAAGCTGACTACTGTACTTCCATAGAGTCCATGGCGAACGCTATCACTGGTCTTCGTCCTCTTCACTCCTATGACCATTTGCGCTTTTGCATAATAGAAGGATTGTTCACCAAAAGAAATTAACGGCGTTCCATATTACGTTAATAACACTTTAGCCGCACTACGAAAAATCAGCAACGCTTATATGACAAGGAGAAAACAAAAACACAGCGCGTCATTCTGTGATATAAAAAAAGCAACATACAATGTCTGTGCGCCCAGTTTCACACTTTCCTACACGGGATGTCGACGTCATACCTGGAACAAAGCTGTTATTGGTGCTTACACAGTGGGTAAGAATGCACAGTGACATCAGCTACTTGCATGTTTAACCATGGACAGACTAATCGCCGAGTGCGTACACCCGCGGAAGTTTGTGCTCACCACAGCCACCCAAAGATTTCACTATAGGTCACGTGTTTCGAAAACCTCCGCTATCGACTGACACTCGTGCCGTTTTCGCTCTCTGTTGCCATTCTGCATTGTGTCTGTCAAAGTTGGGTGGACTGGTTGTTGAACTCTACAGCACGGATTTATATCTCATTGTTTATGATCAATCCGATTTTTTTTTTGTTGCTTCGTCCGGTATAAGGCTGGTCAGGAAACAAAAAGCACTACTTTGAGATTGTGTACCGAACGATGTTGCTCTCTTTCTCACTCTGCAGTCCTGTCATCTTTCGTTCTCGCTATAGGTCCACGCCCCTTGGATAAAGCACGCAATCATAGCGGGGGAAGACTTCCACGTTATACCAAAGTGAGTTCTTTTCTTTCTTTTTTTCTCGATGATTGTCGTCGCGCTAACGTTTATCACAGAAACCACGAGTCTGAAACACGCGCGCCGCGGACTTCTCGCTAGCGGCTCGGCCCGCATACCATCTTTGCCTCGTCATTCTATTTAAAATTTTGTTTAATAAGTATGCTCGTGAGCATGTTCATGAGCTGCACAGACATGACTGCGACTACGGTTGTACGAAGGTTGTCCTAGGGGTTTACTCTACAGGACGAGGACGTCTTGACCAGTTGAGGCTATCTCGAGGATGTTTTGTGTTGTCTGGATAATCTCAATCACTTAAAAAATGGTTCTCTCAGTAGTGAGGTCCACGTTTTAGTGATTCTGGAGATCAGCATCGACATGTTTCTCGAAACGTTTCTCAAATTGCCTTCAGAAATGACCCATACAAAAGAAATGGACAGGTTCCTCTACATTAGCTGATGTTTCGTCACTTGGTGAGTTCGCGAGTCTTGTGTTAAGGCCGGACCAACGCTTTGTAACCTATATACTGACAAAACTCTGTTGCCTTAGGGCAGTTAACGGAACACTCCTCTCAGCAAAGCAGATCTTCAGTGTTAAACAAATGTCTCTCAACACAATGGTGTTTGTTGTTGATAAGATTACTTGCAAGTTTCCATACGCTGCAACAATATCCACAATGTTAAGCGGCACTTAATAATTGTCTTTTCGAAGGGCCTCACCGAAATATTATGTATACCAATAACAGTGTGTGTATTTTTTTAATCTGTATTCCGAGATACTTTTCCAGCCTTTTCACAAATGTATATTTCAAATATCCCATGATTCCCAAACAAACGTATATCAGTATCTGTATTTTAGGCTTACAGCGCATGTATTTCGACGTTTGCATTCCGGAATATCTTCCTGTGTATCTCCACTCAGCCCTTCTCTCAGCAGTGTTTCATATAGTGCAGCGTCCCTACCGATAAAGATGTCGTTCACCACCAGCTACCGTTTCATTAATTCTGATTCCATATTTATAGCGCTTACAACAATTGACAATGCTTCTTAGACCAAATTACATTTCTATATGGCTGTCTTTGCAAACGGCAAAGTATAATTCAGGAGTCCCGACGTAATGGCCACGTCTCGGCCAATAGGTAAAAGACTCTCCATATAATACAGCCGTCTCGCACAACAACGCCGATCATGAAACGAATAAAACGCGTATGCACTGATCATCGTTGTAGTAACGAAAGTCGGCCTATATGCTCTCGTACTCAGCATCGACGACGTCATGTTGGGTGGCACCAAGGACGTGGATCAGACTTCGCTCATTCCAGACAGGGACATCGCCAGGACAATCTGGAACGGCTGCCTCGAGCTTGCCCCGAGTCTCAAGGTATGCCACGCGTTTGTGTAATGCGAAAGATTGTGGAAATTTTATAAAGACCGGTTGTCTGCACGCGCACGACATGCCGTTACTTGTGTTGCGTACAAGCCCTTGTATTTTTTTATAAATTTTCCTCTGGCGTGGTTTGTATATTTATGTTGTGTATAAGCCTCTAGCTACTACATGTTAGCAAATCATAATGTTGTATCTTGGACTACTGCATCGGATAAGCGTTAAATTTCTGACAGCTGCGAACATTTTATTACAGTACTTATTGCCGCTTTCGCATTAATTACTGTCGGACGAGTTCATCTGATCAGCGAACTTCAAAACCTGATCTTTTCCTGCGCCGTCCATGGCGTATGATAGCCCGGGACACTAAAGCTTATTGCGGTGATGTCTACTCACAACGAACGTCACCAGTTGCTGCCGAAGCAGAGGAATCGTCCCGCCGTACTTGAGAATGAAGGAGCAAGGGGGGTGGGAGAGAAATATTCCGCTCAAGCAGCAACTTATAAGCATAGTTTCCTAAAGTTAACTAGATATGACTCTGGCACTGCTATCGTTCAGCGACCATGGGAATGATGGGTAGACACATGGATCTGCCTATTCGTCGTGCTTGCGGGCCTCAAACGCAGCGGTGGCTTCGTTTATTGTAGTGTTTAGGTTTTATTTCAAATAAAAGAACAAACCGTTTTGAACTTCACAAACAGATTTGAATTGGCGAGCTTAAAAAATTACGGTGGTGAAGCGTAACTGATACACTATTGCCGATTGCTGTTCCAGGACAAAGCACCTTCAAGCCACGCGAAGCCAGACGGAACGTAAAGTACGAATTCATGTACTACCCGTCATTCCTATGCTCACTGAAGCGCCATGAGTTGAAGCTCCCATGGTCACTCTAGTGCCAGTCTCCTCTAGTGTATATATAGGAAACTCCATGCTTATAAGGGTTCAATTGGGATCAATGGCGTGCGCTATGACGGCAGGCATCAGCAGTTGGTTCGTATATCCTTCTACATGCTTCGCTTTCGACGTGAAGAGACTGTGCGAAAACGGCTGCTCTTCTTGAAGCGACTGTATTTTCTTAAGTGAGCGTTTTGTGGGGTGGCATTCGACTACATTAAAACGAGATTCTGGCTTCGCTTAGCATCGCATTAACTGCTTCGCCCTTGAGGTGAAACATTTATTTTTTTTTCATTGAAATTGTGCACTGGCTGCCTGATCGTTGAAGATGATGCACCCCCTCGCCCAAGGCCACGTCGCTCATCACTTGTAAACATGCAAAGTTGAAGGACTCCCCCCCTCCCATTCCCCACGGCGGTTATCGACTTTTTTTCTCATCTTCATGGTATTACCCATCGAGGTCGTGTAGAATTAGAACAAACGTATATGTGGACGTAAGTTGACTATTAAAAACCCCTCCCCAAATGTGTTAAAAGTACAAAGAGAAGTTTGCAGTCCAGTCGATCTCAGAATATAGACGTTATGCAGAAAACGTGCTACTTATAGTGTCGTGTCCACAAGATACAATGTTTCGACAAGCTGGTACTGATACATTACGAGATCTTACTGGACGTATTATGTTTGAGACGATACGGATCAGTGCACTCAGTTCGCTCTAATCTTCTTGCTATAACTGTCTATTCACGAGATACGAAAATATGCGTGAGGACATAACTGGTTCAAACGCTTGCCCTGATACGCGTCTTTCCCACTGGAACAATGTGCAGAATGCCAAGGTGATAGGACACTTCGTGGGCCTTCGTCCCGGGAGGAATCCTGTCAGGATCGAGCGGGAAGATCTCACCTTCAAACATGGTGGTAGAAAGGTGTGCACCTAGTTTTTCATTGCTCTCATAGACCCGCTTTTTTTCGCTGTGGAAACATCACGCAGGGCAAATAACTCACCCGACAAGGAGTGTCATTATTTCAATTCATCTGTAGCTTTCCTTGGCATGACAACACCCTGCAAGTCACGGAAATCAACGAAAAAACTATGCACTGTTCTTGCAAACGATATGCCCAATGTGCTTAGAAAAAGTGTAACGATTAGGAGTCTGAACTACCGAAGAGCAGTAAGCCGTCACGATTAGGAATACAGATACGTCAATAAGAGAATGTCACTGACCCAACGCTTCCGCATGGTGCCTGGATGTAGCCGTTGTTTTATTTTATAGCTATAATTAAACCACCTAATATTAAAGTGAGTTTGCTGGAGATGTCAGCGGCCACTCTCAGTAACTATACCTGGTGCTTCATGAAATGTGTCAATAATTGTTAAAAATCGGGAAAAACAGGCATTTCTCGCTGCCTTCACAACAGCTTTTTCAGTAGCGCCAGCAGTTTTTAAATGGTTAACGGCAATCTTTGGAGCAGTAATAAAGACAATAAATAATTATTTTCTCTATTTAGTTGAGTTACGCTGTTACGTCAAATTGTAGAATGGAAGTTTTTCGTACGTAGAACCCACCGTAGTTTTGTTATATAGAAAAGGTGGCCTCTAGTAATTATTGCGGTGCAGTGAAACTGAATTGAAAGTTTTTTTAGTTATTCTGGTTGACCACTCTGCGTTTACTTTTCTATTGTCTATCTCCATTGTCGCCAATTCGAGTCGTGGAATGCCTTCTGAGTCATTGATTAATTTCCCTTTATTAGTAGTTTCTTGAATAGAGAAAACAATACTGGAAGGTTGTCTGAAGAAAAGTATCCAATTTGCAGCACTGCACTATGAATGGCGCAGGCTGTGACGACATACACAAAATAAAAAGGATAGACAGCTGCGCGTTTACTGTGTGCCGAAGAATATATGTCGGGACAGTGAGAAAGGCTTGAGAGGTATCCTAACCACACGTAGAGCTGACGGCCATTTGATTTTATATTACAAGCAACCTTTCGGTTGAGATAGTAATGTTGTGCAGTGCCAACTGAATCACAGATAAAAAATAAAACAGGTCCGACTGTTTCCTTGCGTGGTAAACGTGACTGCCTCAACTGTCCTTTGTCGCGTCACCTCGGCGCAGGTCCCCGTCATTCACAATTACGGCCACGGAGGCTCGGGAATCACCATCGCCTGGGGATGTGCAGGCGACGTCGTTCGCCTGGTGCGAGACGCGATCAGCGAGCGTTCGCCGGACTCGCTCAAGACAAGAGCCAAGCTGTGATCTGCCGGCCTTCCGAGAGTGTGACACATTACGGAAGACGGTTTTGTGTGCGTCTTCGTCTCGGCGTCTTACATGATAAATAATGAAGAAAAAAATGAATATGCCGCCAGTTTCACGCTGCGAAGATCATCCAGCGTTGATGCTGTTGCCCCGTTTCACTCAGCGCCCCTCATTGTAACATTGTCTGTAGGTTGTTGTTGTTTTTCACAATGCAGGAATTTTACGCCCCAGAACAAAGATGCGATTGTATACGGGCCACCGTAGAGAAAGGCTCCGGAAATGTTGATCAGCTGGTGTTCTTTAACGCGCGCTCACATCGCGCAGTACACGGGCCGGCAGCATTTCGCCTTCATCGAAATGTGATTGCCGCAGCCGGTATCAAACCCAAGCACCGTGGCTATTGATCCACCACGGCGGACTTCCTTGTTGTTTCTTTTCTTTGCACTAAGTTCAAGACGTGGTTAGAGGTCAAGGGTTTTCGTGGCGTGTAACTATAGCCCTGCTTTACTGTTGTGAACCCCCCCCCCCCTCCACTTGGATTAGTCCCAAAGAAAATAAGCTACGCAAGGCATGAAAAAGAAGCAAAGTGAAAAAATGACGCGCTGATTGCAAAAGCTTGTGTTTGGTTGTCGGATTGCTGGGGGTAAAAATGTAAACAGCCCTAGCAATGCTACATTAGGACCCGTCTGTCGCCATTATTGTTTAAAAAATGCATAGACATAGCTTCGTGCATTAAACAGTAGCCGGAGAGGTCAGATTCTTAAGACATGTGATTGTAACACCTCCTTCATTAAAACTCCGCTTTAGGCATGACTGCTGCTTCTCCTCCCAAATTACTTGATATTTTTCGAACATATAGGCATCCTCTTGAACAAGACATGAAGCGCCTATATGTACACCATAAGATGCAAATTTATACTCAGCGATCTCTTCTGAGGCAGCAATAGTTTCGTAAGCATTTCAAAAAGTTGAAGCGCAAATTTGTTTGTTTGTTGTTTTTATTATTAATTAGTTACCTCCCGCCTATTGGTGGTTCGGATGCGGGGGGGGGGGGAGGGGGGGGTCTGTGCTTAATTCCAGTGAGCACGGTTACGGGCACAAAGACTCACTATCGACCATATAATACTGGGAAGGCCACCTATTGCTTCGTCAAAGCTAGCTTAAAATATAGATTTGTACTATACGGTGTACCTAAGACTCTTCATACCGGGTTGAAAAGAACACCTGTTGATTTCCCGAAGATGTTACAAAAAGAAAACAAGCGACTTGAAATTATAAGCAGCAATCATGCCGAAAGCGGAGTTGTAAAAAAAAGTATTCTAATGACTCTTGCATCACATATGCCGAACAAATCACATTACAACGGCGAACAGTACAAAGCGTCAGAGCCCTGCGGCTACATTCAGTGAACACACCTCATTACGAAAAAAAAAAAATCACCAATTCACAGCTGCAGCCCCTGCATGCAATTATTCCATGTTCTTGACTAAACCGTTGTGCTACTTGTGATCGAATTCAAATATAACTTTACTTTTCTAAAACTAGATCTTTCAAGCCAAGAAGAACAGCGAAAGAGTTTTGTGTGTATTCGTTTCGAAACGTCGAGTGTGTTGTCATGCGAACTGATATTATTGCTTTCATCACGCCGCATAAACCACGTCCAAAGCCAGAGACCGTACCACGTTTTGCGGACAGCGCAAGCAAACGTGCCCCAGCTTTCAGCGAGAAGTGCGTCATCGATGCGACTTTATCTCCTTGCGAGGTATACGGGTGCTCGAGCGGCCGCCACTATCGGAGCGTGGCGATAGCGGCGCCTCTTCCGTTACGACCTTAATCGAGACCCACTTCCATCTGTTTGTCCCAGTGTCGGATTGCAAAACACCGGAGTCTGCGACTTGCCTTAGTGCTCGCGTTCAGGTACGCAACGCCGGTCGCAACAACGAAGCACGCAGCAGTACGCGGCCGCCATGGCGGCCCACCGTTACACCTGCGTCGGCTTCTCGCCCAAGGCGGACTGGAAGCGCATAGATTTCGTCAGCTCGATGCCAAGCCACCGCGTATGCAGCGTCTGCAGCGTAGTGCCAGACGTCACGTTCAGCCTCGGCTGTCGCCACGTGTTCTGCACCGCCTGCATGAACGACCTGATGCGGAACTCGACCGTAGCCGTCTGCCCCTTTGACGACAAAGAGTTCGGGAACATGGACGTCGGCTGGGACTCTGCCTCCGAAGGGTACGTCGGATCGCGCAAGTCCTACTGCCTCAACAGGGCATTCGGGTGCCCCTACGTAGGCCACATGCTCGAAATGATTGAGCACTACTACCGAGAGTGTGACTACCACGTCGTCTATTGCGGCTGCTGCGCGAAGCCCGTGGCCAGAGTGAATGTGGTGGCGCATCTGCGCGACGGATGCGGCGTGGGTATCCTGACCTTGGACGGAGCGCTCGCCTCGGCCACTGCGAGTGCCTTCGGTCCCGAGGCGGACGAATGCCTGTCTGCGGCGCGTAAGAATATTGAGGACTTCCTCAGCCGCAATAAGAAGGCTGTAAACGTATCCAACGGGACGGGTGAGAGCAATGCCATCACCGAACAACACACCACCATAAGTGATGCAGCTAGTTCGAGTCACGCCGAGACGACGGCAGACACGATGCAGACCGGTAGAACGACAATTAGCTCCCAACCATCGGTCTCCTCCACGCCTACCAACGACGCTCTAGCACCTGTCATTTACGGCGTGTTCGGAGGTTCTAACGCTGTTGGAACCACTTCCGACTCGGACCTCCCACTGCGACTAGAGATGAAGTCAGGTTGGACACAGACTGATCCAGTAGTCGAGTGGGCCTACAGCGAGCAGGCGGTCTATTCCGAGGACAGCGGAGATGCCCTAACACCTTTCTTCAACGATTCTGCCGGCTGCACCAGCTGGGCGCTTGACTCGGCATATCACTCCTGTGCGTCAGAGTCTGAGACCATGGACGTCAACCGCGAGCTGGACAGCTTCAAGGGGACGTCGCTGTCAGCCGTCGTCGAAGCCCTGCCCGAACCAAGCAAGCAGCCCCTGTTGACGTACGACTGGGACGTTAGTCCGTTTCGGAAGTACCGAAACCCACCGTGGCCCGAGTTCAAGAGTAAGGTGCTGACTGTGGGTGACCGCGGTTACAGGCTCAGACTCGAAGGAAAGTTCAAGTTCCTCAACTACCCGTCTCGCTTCCTCGCGTTGTACGTGAGGATTCAGAAGGGCCCCGACGACGCATCGCTCGAATGGCCTTTCAGGCGTAAGTGTTGCTTTCTGTTGATGCACACCAAGTACGCGGAGCTGGACATGTTGTTCACGCTCGAGGATCCCGTGAACGTCAAGAAAGTGCCGCGCGCGACGAGACTACGACTAGAACGGCCCAAGACGGCGGAGAACTTCGCCATCGGTATCGACCGATGTGTGGCGGCGCAGCAGATGGAGGAAGGCGGGTTCGTCTACAAAAACACGTTTAGAATACGCTTCTTTGTCGAGTAGCCGAAGTTGTGAACGAAAACTTATGAAAGGAGACAAGTTTGTGCAGAAGCGAAATGATGCAATAAGTTAAGTGTAACTCCGAACACATGCACCTTCCGTATTTCTACTTCTGCTCACAATTTCTCGCGTGTGTTTTTGTTTAAGTGGACAGTTTGCGCCCACCAGACGAAGACTCAACAAAAAAAAAAAAAACAACACAAAAACTATAGTACTTGAACATTGTGTCTTCGCCTGGTTTTTCACTATGCAGTTGAATCGACTATACCGCCTCTCTCATACTGTGTGTGTATGTGTTTTTAATCCAGCCTGCCGCGACCAAAGCATTTGCAGGGGTGCATGGTGCTAAAGGGGAACAAAAGGGCGAGGGGACAGCCACTGCCCCAAGATGTTCACCCCCTTGCCCATTTTAAGGCAATAGCGTTAGAGAGCTCGTGTCGCAGAAAGCCCGCCGCCAGCGTTGGCCCCATTGGTTGTGAGCGAAAAATCGTCTGTGCGTCTGTGACCGAAAAATCAAGTTACCGAGATAGCCGCGGGAGGCCGCTACTTGTCCACGTGGGCGCGCGCGATCACACCGAGAAAGCCACGCGTTCGAAAAAAAAAGTGCTCAAGGTCACGAGGCGCGGTATTTTCTTTGCCCTGTCACTTATCCCTGCTTGGCTTTCAGCGCTTTCGTCGGGAGGAGAGAAGAGATAATGCAATTGCAGCATGCGACAAAGTTTTGTAACTCTGCTCGCACTGGACGGATTCTTTTTTGCGGCGTTGAATTCGTGAGGCAATAAGCCTTCCTAGTGAATTCATACCATGGTTACTTGAAAAAGTGTTTCAGGGCCCCTTTAACGCATTTTGTTCGACAGGTGTCACGACGAAAACGAGCCCATTCGGCGATAATAGCGCGCGCTGGTCCAATCTACTGTGTGCGTGTTTGTGTGTGTGCGTATGTATGTAACAAAACATATTAATAAGTATGCATTTAGCGGTTGAAGGGTGCACTAGGGGCCGGATTTCGCGATCGCGTTCAACTCTTAAAGGCGAAACTTAAGGGTCCGCCAATTTTTTAAACATATCTATAGGCACCATGCTTGATAGTTAGGGGTATACTCTCAGCCTTATTCTTGCCGTGACAACCTTGGCTGCTTAACTAAATAAAATTACTATCCATAGGTAGGCAAACACTCTCATGAGTCGGCTCACTCGTCAAACTCGGACTCGTATTGGGTCGTGGGCCTGGGATCTGCGTTAGTCCGGGGGAGTGTTAATTTTGGCCCCAATTGTTGAAGTTCGGAAGGTTGGTTCTTCGTAATTGAACTGGTACAGCGAATTGCGGTAAAGAAGAAACGACGGAGCTTAGTCTTTTTGTGTTTGTCTGCTCAGCCCCTTTTTATATGCGAATGCACTTCTTAGTTGGGCTATGTCAGGCGTCCGTCGGGATCCGTCCACCACCCTCTGCCATAGCGACAGCTGCAGTGCACGCTAGTTTCTAGAGCTGGAGACGCATACCGCGTTTCTAGCGACAGAAAAACATCAAGTGCGGCGAACGGCACTTTTAGCTGCACGGTGTAAGTAAAAAAGAAAGCAATATTCTTCTAGCACTGGGTTCTCACGTGCGAAACGTCGTCATAGACGCTACGGGATGCATTCGCATTTCCTCACAATTCCCCCCTATCGAAAAAAAAACGAATGGTGGGCATGGTGGAAACCACCACCCACCATTATAGTGGATTAATGTAGTGGGTGAATGGCGGGAAACGCCCACCATGGCGCATGGTGGGTATGGTGGGTGCTGCAGTGCCGGCAACACTTGAGCGCGAAATGACGTCAGAATCACCGTGACGAGCTGCCACAAAAAATAAAAAAAGAATTCTATAAAAACGGTATAAAAAACACCCGTCCCGTAAAAAAAAAAAAG